GTCTCTGGTCTTCCCCGGTCCCTCCCTCCCCTTCCCCCGGGGCCTGCCTCTGCGTGCGTCCCCTGCGTCGAGGGGCGGTAGCGTGCTGCCCCTCACTCCTCCCAGTTTCCTCCGACAGAGGCCCCACTGCAGACGCTTCACATGGACGTGTGGGGCCCAGCCCGCGTCCGTGGACAGGGTCACGAGCGCTACTTCCTGCTGGTGGTTGACGACTACTCGCGTTACACCACAGTCTTCCCCTTGCGCAGCAAGGGTGATGTCACTGAGGTGTTGATCGACTGGATCCGCGCAGCTCGTCTCCAGCTCAAGCGGAGCTTTGGCTCGGATTTTCCTGTTCTGCGTCTGCACTCTGACAGAGGCGGAGAGTTCTCCTCTGGCCTTCTGCGAGCCTACTGTCGTGCACGAGGCATCCGCCAGACCTTCACGCTTCCGGACTCCCCACAACAAAATGGGATTGCTAAGCGCCGCATTGGCATGGTCATGGATGTCGCTCGTCGTCCATGATGCATGCGGCTGCCGCCCATTTTCTGTGGCCGTTTTTGGTTCGGTACGCGGCGCAACAAATCAACCTTCACCCCAGAGTCTCCATACCGGAGACCTCCCCAGCTTTGCTGTGGACCGGGAAGGTTGGCGATGCATCTGCGTTCCGTGTCTGGGGATCTCGAGCGAGGCGATAGAGGGTCCCTACTCCTCTTAGTGGCAGGCAGCTATGGACACAGAGATGGCTTCCAGGAAGTCCACAGGCACCTACATTGACGAGGTTCCCCCGCCTGGGGCAAACATCGTCAGTGGCATGTGGATATTTAGGGTGAAGCGGCCGCCGGGTTCTCCACCTGTCTTCAAGGCGCGTTATGTGGCTCGTGGCTTCAGTCAGCGGCAGGGAGTTGACTACTTTCAGACCTTCTCTCCCACCCCAAAGATGACCACTCTTCGGGTACTGCTGCATATAGCTGCTCACCGTGACTACGAGCTGCACTCTCTTGACTTCAGCACTGCTTTCTTGCAGGGCAGCCTGCACGAGGAGATCTGGCTGCGTCGCCCACCTGGCTTCACTGGGTCTTTTCCTCCTGGCACTCAGTGGAGCCTTTGGCGGCCAGTATACGGTCTCCGCCAGGCGCCCCGTGAGTGGCACGACACACTGAGGACTACACTTGCGGCTCTTGGCTTTGGTCCTTCTACTGTCGACCCGTCGCTGTTTCTACGCACCGACACCTCTTTGCCGCCGTTCTACATCCTCGTGTACGTCGACGACTTGGTCTTTGCCATTGCTGACACTGCTGGACTCGCCCACGTGAAGTCCGAGCTGTAGAAGAGACACACGTGCACAGACCTGGGTGAACTGCGCAGCTACCTTGGCCTGCAGATCACCCGGGACAGAGCACGCCGCACCATTACCCTGACTCAGTCACACATGGTGCAGCAGGTCCTTCAGCGCTTCGGCTTCACGTACTCCTCGCCTCAGGCCACTCCTCTGTCTACTCGCCACTCGCTCTTAGCTCTGCCTTCGGATGAGTCCGTAGAGCCGAGTGCCCCGTACCCAGAGCTTGTTGGCTGCCTCATGTACCTGATGACCTGCACACGACCTGACCTTGCATACCATCTTAGCATCTTGGCACGCTATGTTGCTCCTGGGAGACACAGACCAGAGCACATGGCTGCAGCGAAGAGGGTATTGCGCTACTTGTGCAGTACGTCGGGCATGGGGCTTGTGCTTGGAGGGCAGAGTTCAGTGGTCCTCACTGGGCACGCAGACGTTTCTTGGGCTGACGACCAGGCTACGCAGCGGTCGTCACAGGGTTACACCTTCAGCCTTGGTTCCGGCTCTGTTTCGTGGCGGGCTACCCACTCGTCTTCTGTTCTCGGCTCCAGTTGTGAGGCTGAGATCTACGCAGGAGCCATGGTTGCACAGGAGCTTCGCTGGCTCACCTACCTGCTGACTGACCTCGGACAGCCGCCTCGTTCTCCTCCAGTGCTGTACGTAGACAACAAGGCCATGCTGGCCTTGTGTCGGGAGCAGATAGTGGAGCACAGAATGAAGCACATTGCTCTTTGCTACTTCCTTACTCGTGAGCTACAGCAGCGTGGTCAGCTGCTCCATACGTACGTGGCCTCTGAGGCCAATACTGCTGATATCTTCACCAAGGCGCTTGCGCCTTGCGATCATCAGCGCTTCTCTACTCAGCTGGGTCTTGTGCCACCCTTACCTCACTTGCTCACCACTTGACCTTGTTTGTACTGTTACATATATATATGCACTTGCTCTTGCTTGTATAGACTTATATATATATGTGTAATCCTGCATGTGAACTGGCCTTGTGGCCTTGAACTTGTGCTCGGAATGTGTGGTGACTTTGTGATCCACTCTGAGCTTGCTTTGCTTTGCTTGACTGGTCTTGTGACCCCTTGTTCTCCCCCACTTTGCCTATGGGGGTGTGTCAGATTTATATGACATAGCTGTTGTAGGCTATAGCGGGGTAGCACATATGGGGTATGACTTTCCAGGGTTTGTACTTGTACCCAATTTCCCTTAGTCAATTCATTCTCGTTCGTTTTCACAGCGGCAACGTGCGGCGGCACATCAGGGCTCAACGAGAGCACCTTCTGATCAACAGCAAGGGCGGCAGCTGGAGGTGCCACAATTGCAGCGGGCGGCAGCAGCAGATGCCTGACTGACTTTCGCCACCCCCTCACCCTCCCCCTCACAGCGGCACGTGCGGCAGTGAGAGTGAGAGGAGGAGGGGCAGCAGCTGGTTGCTCACACCCACCACCCCCAAACCCTCCCCCCCACTGCTGCACACGCAGTAGGGAGAGAGAGGGGAAGGTGAGCGGCGGCTTAGTGGTGGGGCGCAGCAACAGCGAGCCGATTGGCGTTGACCACCCACGCCTTCTCACCCCTGCCACCCCTCCCATAGCGAAAGCTGCGGCGACGGGAAGCAGGGTAGCGTGCACGACGCGGCGCGGGGCGCCGCGGCGAGGGGACGAGGGGCGCCGCGGCGACGGGACGCGGGGCGCTTGTCAGAATCCCAGCCGCTAAATACTAGGATAGAAGGGCTTGTTTGTGTAGCGAGTGAGTGCGCCCATAACCCCCCAGGCCAACGTGCCTTTAACCCGTTCCTAGGATCAAACGGGGATCACAAGTGGACCTTTGACACCCCCCGCACTGGGATACCCGAGGTGCACACACCGGGATTTAAACCCGATACCTTCGCTCTGATGCCATGTCAAAATCCCAGTAACTAACCACTGGGATAGAAGGGCTTGTTTGTGTAGCGAGTGAGTTCGTCCATAACCACCAAGGCCAACGTTCCTTTAACCCTTCCTTATGATCGATCGGGGATCACTAGTGGACCTCTGACAGCCCTGTGGCGACGGGATGCAGCGCGAGGGATTGGGTGCCGCCATCGCGTCTGTCATAGCCGTCACTCTGGGCGTCGTGACGAGCGTTACGACGGGCGCGATAGAGGCTGCGACGAGCAGCGTGATGGGAGGAGCGATGGCTAACGGTGGGCCCATAAATGAGATGGCCTAGGATCAGGCCTGATCTAATAGCATGTCAAGAAGCCAAGCTAGAAACAAGGAGCCATATTGTGGGTAGTGTGAGGAAGAGGGTTTTTGCCAAAGAAATAGGGCTTCACTATGTCTTAGGAAGAACATTTAGGCACGAAGAGAATGAGGCATATACAGTATAACTGGATGGTGAAACTTCAAGACGTTTCCCTCGTTTTTGTGTGCTGTGAGCTCTAAATGAAGTAGCCGTTTTGCCACGCACACATCAGCCAGCCAAGCACACGGGCTTGCCGCTTGTGGAAGTTGACAAGGACTGTAGATAATCCACGTCAGGTGACTTTATCCACATCCGACGGCAGAAAATGTCAGCCACACCTGCACAACAATCGCAGAACGAGAGCAACGATGATGGCTGTCATGGCACCAAGCTGCTCCATGTGACCCCATGACCCCGTCCTTCTCATCTCAATCCCCATGGCCATGACTCCCCAGCCATGTCATAACGGCAGAATCAGCAAGTTCCAAAGTCCCAGCCAAACACCGTGTTTCAGCTGTGCGGACTGATCGGTGATTGAGCCACGTGGCAATAAAGGAGTTGCTTTTGTGGTGGTAACTCGCACCATTCGCCGACGCCAGAACCATGTCAGAACCACGTCGCATCCCGTCAGTGATCTCGCTCCTTTCTGGTCTCTTCTCCCCCAACGCGTAGCGTCAGAGCGGGGTTCACAGCCTTATCCCCCCTCCACCCCCCTACTTCCCCGCCAGTCTCCCGCACTCACCTCACCATAGCACCCACTTGTGCAAGGCACCGTATCAGCGAGAGATGGTACCGAACCATACCGTGAAGAACTGAGACCACCAAACCTCCCGAACCAGCATTTTCATCCCACAACTCACTAGGTCAGATATGTGCTGTCTCGATTGCTTGATCTTCCTGACTCCCCTCCCCAACGCAACACCAGCAATTACAGCACAGATGTTCCAAGGCATCCTTGGTCATTGCGAACCCACGCCAACTGCTTGAACAGAACGAACTAGAGCTTGTGTTATCGTGTCTGCAAACTTGGCTTCCGTGTCGATCCATCAGCAGTGGCACGCAGGATATTTTAGAGCTAGGCTCGAACGACGGGCAAGCATGCGGTCGTGCTGCTGCTGGCAATCGATGCCCCTGGTCCGCCGATCACCCGCTGCCATCTCCTCGTGAACGCCACCAGTTGTTCCTCCTGGGGAAAACATATCGGTTTTTTTTTTTTTTTTTTTTTTCCTGCTCCCGTGCATTTGTTCGAGGAAGTTTTTTTTTACAATTTAATATACCCCAGCAGTGATTTTTTTTTTTGGTCTCATACAGTCCCATCCTTTACTTCGCACGAACTCCCCCTCTGAAAAGTCGCCGAAACCCAGCCTTCTCGATCTGACCGTCCGCCTCGGATATTAAGGCTCGTTAGCGACTCTTAAGTAACGTCTAGGAGCCACAGCAAAATTGGGTGCGCGAGATGACGCTACCCACGCGGCTAAGTTCCTCCACTGCCGTAACCGTGCACTCGTCAGGTGTTGCACACTCGTCGCCAATCGTTCACTCTTCGACATGTTTACATGCCGGTTCACCACGTGTGGCGTGGCTCCCGGAAACTGCTGTCACGGTTCGTCTAGAGTCCGTTCAAGCGCTGGACGGACGGCCCCGATCGGACCATGCGAGGCCGTCATACGTTCTGCGACGAGGAATCGTCGCCGCTGCGACCGCTCAGGTGGCGGGAACCGGCAGCACCCATCGGCTCCGGGATATGGGCGTGTCCCGGAGAATGGGCATTAGTGGGTCGAGACTAGTCCTAAACAGCGCTACTAGCGGTGTTACAAATGCCACTGGTGGCATCAGTGGCCGTAAACATGGGCCGTGTGGCGGGGCTGTTAGCGCGGGTGATAGCAGCCTCGGTCGCCGCGACAGGCAGGAGCAGACGTTGGGATGGGGTGTTAACGGCTGCGTAGATGGCGGTGGGATTGAGCGAAGACTGTCACATCGGTCGGCTGCACACTCGCCGCAGCAGCTGCAGCAGACGCAGACGCACCGGGGAGCCGTTACGGTTTCGGCCGTTCTTAAGTAAGAATACGGGAGAGACAGCTGACATATAAAGCTCTTATAGTTGTTCTTGCCAGTTTTTTTTTGTTTTTTCTCTGTTTTTGTCTATTTGTTTCCAACGATTAGAAAAAATGTCGTTAGTTGCCGTGCGTTCCGCCGATCATGTCATCCTTCCTGCACATTACCTTCGTCCATTTCGCCAATCCATTTTCCTTCGTTCCTTTTCCCCCATCGTCCACTTCCGCCGTCTATTTCCGCCCAGCAGCCCCCCAGGCCAGCAACTGCCAGCGAAGAAGCCGTTCACTCCCCGCCAGCGCCCCTCCTCCAACCCCTCGGAGCTCAGCTCGCCTTTTCCCGCCGTCTCCCCTGCCGCTGCGCGCCAGAGCGGGAACAACGACGGCGGAAGCGGAAGCGGGAGCGGAAGCAAGAGCGCGAGGGGTAGCAGGGCCGGTAGCGGCGGAAGGGGGGGAGGCAGAGGACGCAAGCACGCGAGCAACTTGGTAAGCAACCCCGGCGGGGGCGGCGGCAATGGCGGGAACCGCAGCGGCAGCGGCGGCAGCAGTAGCGTCGATCGCGGCGGCGCTGTGGGGCTACGCATGGGCGCGGTCGGCTTCGGGGGTTCCGCCAGCGAGGCAGATGGCGGAGGAACGGCATTGGCTGTCGGGGCATTGGCCGGGGGATTCGACGTGAAGGCATTGGGGGGAGGGGAAGCAAAAGAGATGGCGGGCAGCAGTGCGATTGGTGGTGGCGGTGGTGATGGTGGTGGTAATAGAGCGCAAGTGGCGGCAGGAGAAATAGGGGCGTTATTACCCTCAGATGCGTCAGCTTTGCCCGGTCCTGTGGCGGCTGCTGCTGTGAATGGCGCTGATGGTGGCGCTGCTGCTGCTGCAAGCGCACAGCAAGTGGATGGCGCGAAGTCGGAAGAGGAGGAGGCGGAGGGAGCTGGGAAAGAGGGTCAGGAGCAGGAGGAGGAGGGGAGAGCAGATGTGGATGCGCGGTCTGGTTCACCTGGTAACGGATCATTGCGTGGCGGGGATAGTTCCGGCGGAGAGGGGGACGAGGCGGAGGCGGATGATCCGGAGAGCAACGAGGAGGCGGTTATGGCTGCGCGGCTGTCCATGGCGAGCCTGGCTGCGGGCATCGCCAGTCAGGTATGCTGAGAGATGGTGCGCACGTGCCCCAAACACGTGTGTGTGCTTTGTCGTCGTGGGGTGGCTGTGTGTGTGTGGGTGTGAGTGGAGTTCCGCTGTCCATGACCACCAGCTTGGCTGTGGGTATCGCCAGTCAGGTATGCTGAGAGATTGTGCGTGCGTGCGCCGCCTCTGCATGCTTTGTTGGCGTAACTGTGCGGGTGGTGGGGCTGGTTAAGGGTTGGAGTGACGAGCTGGGTCGAGCCGGGTGTATGCGTGTGGATATGGGGATGGAATGGTGTTGTGGTGTATTGTTGTTGATGAGTCGCCTGGTAAGGTGTAAGGATGTAATAGCCCGTGAAGGCTCGTACGTACGTTCCTTGTTCTGATACAAAGCGTGAGAGGTGATCGATTAACCAGTGTATTAACAACCAGTGACCGAACGCTATGCAGCAGAACTATAACGCACGCTGATATAACGCAATCTTTTAACAAAGCTAACTTCCAGTCTTCTAACGCTTTGCCTCCTTGCACCACCCCACGCTTTGCTTATTCTCTCCGTCACTGCGTCTTTCCCCTGCTCTGCTCCGCATCTCCCTCCCTCAGCCCCACTATGACAGTCCTGGCGCCGACAGTGATGGTGATGGCGACGGTGGCGGTGGCAGTGGCGGTGGCAGTGGTGGTGGTGGCGGCGGAGGCGGCAGGGGAGGCGGGGGGAGTGCGAGCGGTGGGGGGAGCTCGGCGGGGAAGGCGGACCGGTCGTTGGAGCTGGGCGATTTGATCGGCATGATTAAAGACGCCGAGTCCAGTGAGTGTGCCGTGCTGCTGCCTGCATGCATGTGCAAGTGCATGCACCCCCGTGCTGTTGTTCTTTTGAGGTGCCTAAAAAATTGTCCGTGAGCTGGGCAGGTTGGTCGGCATGACTAAGGACGCCGAGTCCAGTGAGTGAGTTAGTGAGTGTGCAGTGCAGTGCAGTGCCGTATGCGTGCAACCACGAGGTGACTTTAGAGTCGACTTAGAAGTCGAAAGTTGTTTCGAGCCAGCTTCGATTCTGTTGTTACTCCGAGCCGCCTCTCGCGCTCCCCCCCATGCTGCGCCATCTGGCCTGCTATGCTTTGCACGTGGAGGCATCTGGTTTGTCACGCCATAGCACGTTTCTCCCTTCTCTGTTTGGCCCCACCCGCCTCCTTCCCCCTTCCTGTTTTCCGATTGCTACTTTCTCACACTCCATCCTCGTTCCCCCACGCTTTTCCCAATCCCCGGGCCCCCGGTCCACCCCGGTTTCCCCATTCCCTCTTTTCTTTCCTCCCCTTTCTCCCTTCCCCTGTACCTCCTCACGCTCCGCTTTCCTCCCTCAACCGCACCGAACCCCTGGGAGAGCAGACATTCTGCTGCTGAACCGAGTGCGGTCGCGCGCGCTGGAGGAGCTGTCCGAGGCGCGCATGCAGAACGACGGGCTACAGAACCAGCTGCGAATCTTCCAGGCGCGCATCGCGGAAGCCGACGCGAAGCTTCACCTGGCGGTGCAGAGCCGCGAGCGGAGCTCCCTGCTGGAAACGCAGCTGCGCGTGCTGCAGGAGCAGGTGGAGGAGCTGGGGGAGGCGGACGGCGAGGGGGGGAGGGAGGGGGAGGGGGAGGGGGAAGGCGCGGAGGCGGCGGAGGAGGAGGTGGTGGGGGAGCTGGAGAAGCAGGTGGCGGAGCTGCGCGCGCGGGTGGAGGACGGGGAGGAGGCGGAAGCGCGGCTGGAGATTCTGCAGGGGCGGAACGAGGCGCTGCAGCAGGAGGTGGAGGAGGGGATCCGCCAGGCGGAGGCCGCGCGGAAGAGGGCGGAGGAGGTGGAGCGGAGGCTGCGCGAGGAGATGGAGGGGCTGACTGAGAGGCTGGTGCGCCTGCAGGCGGAATTGGCGGTGTCTCAGGCGAAGGAGAAGGAGCTGGAGGATGCGGTCGCGGTTAAGGGGCTGCTGGAGCGGGAAGTGGGGGATCTGCGCGGGAAGGTGGCGGAGAAAGAGGCGGAGATGGCGCAGGCTGTGCAGGAGCGCGAGGAGGAGGTGGCGCGGCTGCGGGAGAGGCTGGAGCGGGAGGTGGGGGAGCTGGGGAAGAAGGTGCGGGAGGAGGGGGAGCGGAGGCGGGCGGCGGAGGAGGAACGGGAGAGGCTGGATGGGGAAATCGCGGCGTTGAAAACGGAGGTGGAGGAGAGGGAAGAGGCGCTGAGGCGAGAGCTGGAGGAGGTGGCAGGGAAGCTAAGGCGAGAGGTGGAGGAGAGGGAAGCAGTGGTGGGGGAAGAGGTGCAGGAGAGAGAGGCTCTAGTGGCTAAGCTGAAACAGGAAGTGGATGAGCTGACGGAAAGGGTTGGGGAGAAGGAGCGGGAGAGGGAGCGCGCGGAGGCGGAGGTGGGGGAGCTGCGGAAGAGGGTTGAGGCGGCGGAGGAGGTGGTGCGGGCGAAGCAGGGGGAGGTGGAGGTGCTCCAGGAGGAGCAGGCGGAGGAGCTGCGCGCGCTGGTGGCGCGGCTGGGGGAGGAAACCGCGCAGATGCGGAAGGCGCTGCAGGGGAAGGAGCAGGAGGTGGCGGAGGTTGAAGCAGCGCGGGGGAAACTGGAGGAGGTGGTGAGTCGGACGGAAGGGTGGCTGGGGGAGGTCCGCGGGGAGAATGCGGACCTGAGGGCACAGCTAGCAGCGCTGCAGCAGCAGATGGAGGAGTCAGAAGAGAAAAGAGAGCTGGTGGTTCAGTTGACAGAGGAGGAGGAGAGGAAGCGGGAGGAGCAGCGGCAGCAGCTGGTGCTGCAGCTGCAGCAGGCGCAGGAGCGGGTGGGGGAGCTGGAGCGGAAGCAGGAGATGGTGGCAAAGGTAGAGGCGGAGATCAGCCTGCTACAGTCCGCAATTGAGGAGGCGGAGGGACTGGAGAGGATATCCGCGGCTGTAGCAGAGCAGAACGAGGAGCTTCAGGGGGAGCTGGCAAGGCTGAGAGAGGAGGTGGCCGCGGCAGAGGCGGCGAGGGCGCGAGAGCAGGAGGAGAGGCAGGCGGAGAAGGAGGACTGGTGGCGGCTGGCTGAGGAGACAGAGGCGTATCGGGCCCAAGTGGGCGTGCTAAGGAGCGAGCTGATGAAAACGGACGAGCTGATGCGAGCGCAGCTGGAGCTGTATGAAGCCCAGATGGCCGCTTTTCAGGAGAGTTTAGATGCTGCGAATGAGAGCGTGGAGGTGTATAGGGCCCGGGCGGCGGAGGCGACAGCAGCGGCGGAAGAGGCCGCGGCGATGGCGGCGGATGCAGAGGCGGTGGCGGCGCAGTGGGAGGAAGCGGCCGCGTCCGGCGCGCTGGGTGAGCTGAATCTGGGCGGAATGACCAGCGGGTTTGTCACCAGTGGGAGCAGCAGCAGCAGCAGTGGAGGAAGGTGGCAGCGACCAGCGGTGGTTGCAGCAGGGGAGCTGCCTTGGGAATACTGGAGTTCTCTTCTACTGAAGCTGGACGAGCTGCTGCTGCGACGGGTGTTGACAACTGAAGAGGTGGACGAGTTGAGAGACATGGCGTGGCGGAGGGAGAAGGCGATCAGAGACGCGTGGGATTCTGTAGGGGGCGCGGAGGTGGTGCAGGCTGTGGCGGCGGGGGGGAACAGTGACGCGGTCCTGGGGAGAGATGCGGTGGTGGCGGGTGCGCTGAGGGGGGTGCTGGGAGGGGAGCAGCCGCCGCTGCCGCCCCTGCATGTGGTGCATATAGCTGCGGAAATGGCTCCTGTGGCGAAGGTAGGGGCGTGGGGTGGGGAGGTGCGAGAGGGGTGGGTGGGGGGGTTGGATGAAAATGGTTGGTGGGGGCTGTTGGGGTAGGGAGGAAAGGAGGAGAGGGAGGAGGAAAGGGAACAAGCTGTTTGGAGATATTGGTGGGTGGTAGTCCATGCACTAACACATCGATCTGTGTTTGCTCGTTGTGTTGTGCGTGCATGTGTGCGTGTGCGTGTGTGCGTCTCTGCATGTGTGGGCATGTGGTATGGCAGGTGGGAGGGCTAGCAGACGTGATCACGGGGCTGTCGAAGGCTCTGCAGCGCCGGGGGCACCTGGTGGAGATCATTCTGCCCAAGTACGACTGCATGGACTACTCCCGCATCAACGACCTCAAGGTGCGTGCGCCTCCATGCTTGCGTGCGTGCGTGTCGTGCGTGCGCTCGCTGATTGTGTGCTGCGTGCATTGTGGCCGCTGGCTGGCATAGCAGCACACCTGGTGGAGATCATTCTGCCCAAGTACGACTGCATGGACTACTCCCGCATCAACGACCTCAAGGTGCAGATCCTGCATGCGTGCTTGTATTGTTAGAGGAACGGAAGGGATGGGTTTGTGATGGGATGGGATGGGATGGGGGAGTGATGAGTCAGTTCTTTCTGGAGATGGTGTGGCATATGAGAGGTAAAAAGGTGGCGAGTGTGAATTACAAGGGATTGCTGGATGGGAGGGTGCATGTGGTAATGGATGGGGTGTTACTCTTCGATTTCACCCTTTCATTCATCCGTGTAACCCTTATCTTTCCGTTATTCACTCCCCCTCTTCCCTGCCCGCTTCCACTTTCTCTTTCACCACCCCGTCTCTCCCCCACCACCACTCCCTTTCCCCCATGCATTGCTCTCTATCGTGCTGGTCGTATCCCGCCTTCATCATCATCATCCTCTGCATCCTGCCGTGCCCCCCTCCTCTGCACCCTGGCCTGTGCTGCGTGGCGGTGCCCTGCCTTGCTGTGTCCTGCCCTGCCCTGCTATGCCGTGTGCAGCCATTGGACCTCAAGTTCTCGTCCTTCTTTGACAATGAAATGCACGCCTGCAAGATATGGAGGGGCATGGTGGAAGGTAGGATTGGGGCAGTGGGGGGACACACAAAACACCACGCAGAAGCATCAGGCAGAGAGGCAGAGAGGGCCACATGGTCTCACACATCCAGTTTTGAGACATCTCAGAACTTGCTTCAGCATCTCGGGCAAAGAGGCAGAGAGAGTCACATTCTCGCATGCATCCTTCCCGATTTCTCTCTTTCTTCGCCCGCTCGGATTGTCCATTAAAACACAACTCCATACTTTCCACAGTCTCACAATCACTCGAACCCCTCCCCTGTTCCAGCCCATCTTTCCCATCCTCCCCCCTTCTCCCACACCACACACCCCCCATGCAGGTCTGCCCGTCTACTTCATAGAGCCGCTGCACCCCGCGCGCATGTTTTGAACATGGTTTACCAACTCCACACCTGCCGCATTGCCCCTCTCCCCGCCCTCCTCTCCTCCCTTATATACGTACCCCCCATGCAGGGCTGCCGGTGTACTTTATAGAGCCGCTGCACCCCGCGCGCATGTTCTGGCGGGGCACCTTCTACGGGTGCAACGACGACTTCCGGCGCTTCACGCTCTTCTGCCGCGCTGCCCTCGAGTTCCTCTACGTCTCGCACAAGCGCCCCGACATCATCCACACGCACGACTGGCAGACCGCTGTTGTGGTACGTGCGTAGTGTTGCTGGGCTGCCCCCCCAAAATAGAATGTGTTGTAAAGCAGGGTTTGGTCCCACAAGCGCCCCGATATCGTCCACACGCACGACTGGCAGACCGCCATTGTGGTACGTGCATCTCTGGGCTGGCCTTGAAAAAACCCGATTTGAAAAAACCCGACTTGAAAAAACCGACTCACAGGGAGTAAGTATACTGTGAAGCCTGGTTCGATTGCGGAGACGACGTCGCGTCCCACACGCTTCTTCCCCCCCTCACCCACCCACCCATCCCCTCCTCCCCAGGCGCCGCTGTATTGGGACGTGTATGTGCCCAAGGGGCTCAACTCAGCGCAGCTGGCATTCACGTGCCACAACTTTGAGTACCAGGGGTCGGAGCATGCCAGTGCGCTCGCTGCCTGTGGGCTGGACGTGAACCGGCACAACGTGCCCGAGCGCATGAGGGATAACTTCATGCACGACAGAGTCAACCTGCTCAAGGTGGGTGTTGGGGTGACTTTTGAGTCGACTGAGAAGTCAGCTTGTGTGGGCTGGACGTGAACCGGCACAATGTGGCGGAGCACGTGCGGGATAACTTCATGCACGACAGAGTCAACCTGCTCAAGGTGGGTCGGGGGGGGGGGGGGAGGGGGGGGGGAGGGGAGAGAGGAGGGGTTGCTTGAGAGAGGGGTTGCTTGAGAGAGGAGGCGCCTCAGAAAGCGTCTTTACCTAGGTAGGTGGGTTCGACTGCTTGGGTGGTTGGTTGATTTCTGAGGCGCCTAAGGAAGTGGAGGAGGAGAGCATGCCCGGCAACTGCATGTATGATAGAGTCAACTCAGAGCTTGATAGCAGTAGGTGGAGGCGCATGCGGAGGTGGTGGTAGTAGTTAGCATCGTACGTATTGTGACAAGCCCGGCAAGCTTAGCACTGGTCAATGTTATGATTTCTCTCTCTCAGCAATTTCTGCTTTTTCTTCCCGCCTTCCCTTCTTCTCCCCTTGCCTCTCGCATTCCCCTTTTCTCCACCCCCCTCCTTTTCCCGCCCCTTTCTCCGCTTCCCTATCCCCCCCCTTATCCCCCCTTGCACATGGCGCAGGCGGGCATAGTGTTTTCAGGAGTGGTTACCACTGTGTCGCCAACATACGCCATGGAAGTCAGAGGGCCCGAGGTGAGTGTAACTGGGAAGCAGTGGGGGCTGGAAGGAAGGGGAGGGGGGGGTGGGAAGTTGTTTTGGGGGAGAAGGTGGGTGGTGGTTTTTGGGGAGAAGAAGTGGGAGAAGTAGCAGGGTGCACGGGGGTGGGATGGCACGACACGGGATGGTGTGTGAGGGGATGGGTTGGGAGAAGGAAAGCGAGCAGTGCGAGTTGAGAGGGCGAGCGGGTGGATGAGCATGAGGGTGGGTGTCAGCGTATTTGCAAGCACAGAAAACGGGTTGTTGCAGGTGGATGATCTGGGACCACGACCACCCGAGCAACCTTGCCCTTCATCCACCGTCCAGCCCCAGCTTTCTCTTTTTTGCTCCATCTCTCAGCTCGTCCCTCCCCACCATCCCCCCCCCAACCTCCCCCTTCCCCCTTGAACACCCTGCAGGGCGGGCGAGGGCTGCACCTGACGCTGGGGCAGCACGAGAAGAAGTTTTTTGGCGTGCTGAATGGGATTGATTCAGAGGTGTGGGATCCCGCCACCGACCCGCTGCTGTGCTGCCCCTACAGCGCAGCTGAGCCCGAGGGCAAGGCGGAGAACAAGGCGTATCTCAAGTCCATGCTTGGGCTCTCGTCCTCAGGGCCTGATGCACACAAGCCGCTGGTGGGTTGTGTGCGGATGTGTGGGTGAGAGTGTGTGTGTGTGCGCGTCTGGGGAGGGAGCAAGGACGAGTTTTGAAATTAAGTCCATGCTGGGCCTCTCGTCCTCAGGGCCTGATGCACACAAGCCACTGGTGGGCTGTGTGTGGTGTGTGAGTGAGCGTGTGTTCTTGTATGTGTGCGGACGAGGGAGAGAGTGGGAAAATGGAAGGGAAAGTGAAGCCAGAGCGGGGAAGCGGAGAACTGTCATGTATCCCTGCTCTTTTTTCCTGAGAGACGCCGCGCTTTTCCAGTGTCAAACTATGCCCATGTCATCTCTTTCCACCTCTCTCCAACTTATGGGTAGGTGGGGTGCATCATGCGCCTGGTGCCACAGAAGGGAGAGCACCTCATCCGCCACGCCATCTACCCTCAACGCATGCCCATCTCATCTCTCTTCCCATCTCTCCTCTCTCCATCGTCCTCTCCCCATGGTGACCAGGTGGGGTGCATCACGCGTCTGGTGCCACAGAAGGGAGTGCACCTCATCCGCCACGCCATCTACCGCACGCTGGAGCGCGGTGGCCAGTTCGTGCTGCTTGGATCCAGCCCCGTGCCCGACATCCAGGTGCGCCTTGTCTTGATCGCCCCGGTGGGTCATGAGAGCCCCGTGCCTCACATCCAGATGACTTTTGAGTCGAAGGACTCAAAGGCCAGTTCGTGCTGCTTGGATCCAGCCCCGTGCCCGACATCCAGGTGCGCCTTGTCTTGATTGCCCCGGTGGGTTGTGAGTGCGCTGTGCTTTTTTCAACGTGCACTGGGTCGTAGTGCCTCGTGCGGCCTTACATCACATGCCCTTTAGTCTCCAGTCGTCTGGGCTGCTTATCCCTGCTGCTACTCCCCTCCCCTCCTCCTTTTACCCCTCTCCTCGTTAACCTCTTTGCTTCGCCATTTGTTCACCTCACCCCTAGCTCACCTCTAACTGTGCTTCCTCCACATTCCCTTCCCCTCCCCCTCCTCCCCTTGTTTCCCTCTTCCCATCCCCCCTCGTTCTCTCCCTCCCCCGTGCAGAAGGACTTTGAGGGCATAGAGCGGCAGTTCAGCAGCGACCCCAACATCCGGCTGGTGCTCAAGTACGATGAGAGCCTCTCGCACCTCATCTACGCCGGCTCCGACCTCTTCATCATCCCCTCCATCTTCGAACCCTGCGGCCTCACCCAGGTGCGTGTGTGCCTGCTTCCCTGCCTCTGGGCTGGGTGCATGTGTGCTTGGGGGGAAGGCGGTGATGTGGTGTGGTGCGGTTGAAATGACTCGTGTGTGAATGCAGGAGGTTGCCAGTTGAAATGAATTTGGTGGAGACTGGGTTGCCTTGTTTCTCCGCCACTCGATGTTTCTGCTGGTGTTAGCACGCACAGAATGCATGTGTGCACGTGTCTGCGTATTCGTATGCATGTACAATACATTCCTGTGCTTGTGTGCGTGCGTATGACTGCTACGTTTGTTTCTGACCACTAATGTACCCCTACTCACTTACCCCCTCCCATCCCTTCCTGTCCCATGCCACATGGTCAGCTTATTGCGATGCGCTATGGTTCCATACCCATCGTGCGCAAGACAGGCGGGCTCGCAGACAGGTATGCCGGGCTCTCTCTCTCCCTCTCCCTCTTCCTCTCCCTCTCCCTCTCCCTCTCCCTCTCCCTCTCCCTCTCTCTCTCCCTCTCCCTCTCCCTCTCCCTCTCCCTCTCCCTTTCTCTCTCCCTCTCCCTCTCCTCTCCCTCTCCTCTCCCTCTCCCTCTCCTTCTCCCTCTCCCTCTCCTCTCCCTCTCCTCTCCTGTCCCTCTCCCTCTCCCTCTCCCTCTCCCTCTCCTCTCCCTCTCCTCTCCCTCTCCCTCTCCCTCTCCATCCCCACCCCACAATCGTGTTTCGCGCATAGATTCAAGCACTGCTGCCACTTCTCCCATTAGCGCACTTGTCTCACCTGTGCCATTTGTCAACCAATTACATCCCGCCTGCTTCAACACACTCGTTTCTCCCTCCGCGCTCCGTGTGTGTGTGTGTGTGTGTGTGTGTGTGTGTGCGTGTGTGTGCGTGTGTGTGTGTGTGTGTGCGTGTGCGTGTGCGTGCGCATGTGCGTGTGTGTGGGCGCAGTGTGTTTGATGTGGACGACCCATCCATCCCCGTGGAGAAGCGCAACGGCTTCAGCTTCACTGCCAGTGATGTCAATGTGAGCCCTCTACTCACCCACCATTTTCTGTGTGGGCGCATCCGTGCGTATCAATGCGTGCGCACAGGTGTTGAACTACCCGTGAGACTGCTATCACAGCATACTCCTCCGTTTTCACTCCTACATATTCCTACATATTCACTCCCCCCTCTCTTGTCTCCCTTCCTCTCCCTGTCCAACCCATCCTCATCCCACCCATCCCCACATGTGTATGTGTGTATGTGTATGTGTATATGTATGTGTATGTGTGTATGTGTATGTGTGTATGTGTATGTGTGTATGTGTATGTGTATGTGTGTATGTGTGGGCCTGCAGGCGCTCAACTACGCTCTTGACCGAGCCATAACAGCGTACTACGAGCGGCGCGAGTGGTGGGTGCAGCTGGTAGCGCACACCATGGCCATGGACTTCGGGTGGGAGCAATCCAGCCGGCAGTACGAGCAACTCTACCACCGCTGCCTGCCTCACCGCCGCACCTGGTGACCCACCTCCTCGTGCGATCTCGACTCGACTCGACTCGACTCGACTCGGCTCCTCTGCTGTCTCCACTGTCAGCTGCCTCTGGTGTCACCTCTACGGCTCCTACAGGCGACCCTGCTGTCACCCTTCTCTCAGCATCTCTGCTGTCGTCTCCCCTGAAGTGGAACTGGAAAAACGTATGGTAGCACTTAGGAAGCCTTTAGAGGCCTCGGGGATTTCATTCCTTGGTGTTGGTTGTGAGGGGAGGGACGAGCAAGGGGCGGGGAGGGGAGGAGCAGCAGTGGAACTGCTCTGAACTCGTGATCTGGCTTTGTCAGGTCACTGCTGCTGCTACCGTGCTGTAGGCAGATTTAATGCCACTTCTAGTCGTCCGTATATTTCTGCTTTTTTCCCCACTCGGAAAGAAGACCCCTTGCTTTTATTCCTCGAGCTGAGCCCTGTAGTAGCATGCTACTTGTCCTCATCCGTGTGTATGCTCAGGTGCATGTTCAGGTGCTTGTAGGGCACTGCCACTCTCTGGATCTGCCCTGCTTGATTGCTGGTCTTGTGATCTGATTTGGGGCAACTCGGTGGGACTGTTGCACTCTGCCTAAGGTGCTGTAGAAAGATTGCTCCCTTGCAGATCCGCTTTTATTTCTATTTGTTTTCTGTGAAGTGGATACATTTGTAGGGTGGTACACTGTTTTACTGCACTAGATGCATTTTGTTCCATGTATTAGCTATCAGCATCTGTAGTATTTTAGAACTTGTAAGGAATTTTCAGCCTGAATGAAAGGTTATTGAGACGAAACCTCCTCGAAACTTCTTTTCGATACACCCACGTGTCTAACGATTTCCTCCGGATAAAACTGCTCGAGTAGGGGCACCAGATACACTACTTTGTCGACGGTATCACGAGTTTTGAAATCACTGGGGGCTTATAATAACCCTTAAATTATGAAACTAGATAGCCAATCGCACATGGCCAAAACGATTTTAGCGACTCGCACATGGCGAAAAGCGAATTGGTGCAAACGAAAGCCTTGTCACATATGAGTCTCGTACTTCAGCAGAACCGCACATCATTTCCCCTTGCCAAACCGAGTATAAATTTCGAAGTTGCAACTTTAGGAGAAAATATTCCACACACATATGGTGTAAACAGTTGAAAACTCTTGCTGCTGCCAGCGCGCCCAGCACAGAAAAGTGCCGAGCGATACTGTGCCTGCTGCCAGGTCAGCTGATTGTGAGCTTTGCCACACTTGGCACTTGCACGAGGCCATTGTCTGAGGGTTTTGAGTTGATCACGCACTGTTACCCACACCTCGACCCTGACTGCTCAGTGTTCCTAACTCTTGAAAAATGGCCAATCAGAGTGCCCCATTTCTGGTCGCACATTTGCGTTGGTATGCTGTAATCAGCTTCAATGCTATTATAACTATGCTGTTATGAAACTGCATGAACATCTTAAAATTTGAAGTAACTCTGACAGTTCAGACAAAAAAAATTGTGCTTGTCTGAATTTTCAGACTAAAAAAAAAAAGGTAACTCTGACGGCCAGACTAGGAAGAGGGGTGTACTCTGAGGTGTCAGACTACCTCAAAACGAATCTAGGGGCCTGTTCACGCACCTTAGCCCCTAGGAGCCGCTGTCAGAATGTTATTCTCTAGCCTGTAGTGGGGTGCTCTATAACGAGTACAACCCATCTAGGGTTTGCTATATGTATCCTCATTGCTGCTAGTGAAACCCCTCTTTGCCTAAACTTTCACTTGCCTACCTAGTACTTACCTAGCTATGGCTCCTCCCTATAGCTACTTCTCTCACATGGTTTTAGAGCACTCACACTCCCGGCCTGTGGGCCCTACTGCTGCTTCCGCTGCCCTACTCTGTGTCGCGCGCCCCGTGGCGCGCGACCTCCAATTTTTCATCCCGCCGCGCGCTCGGGGCGCCCGGCGGTTTTCTGCCCGCCGTGCGCCCCGAGGCGCGCGGCGGTTTCCTGCCGTGGGGGAGCCCGCGCGCGCCCCGCCAGTCCGTCGCGGCGCCCTGGGGAGCACGCGCGGCCCCCACCCTGCACGTCGCGACGCCCTGGGGAGCCCGCGAGCGCCCCGCCCGTCCCTCGCGACGCCCTGGGGAGCCCGCAAGCGCCCCGCCTGTCCGTCGCGGCGCACTGGGGAGCCCGCGAGCGCCCCGCCTGTTCGTCGCGACGTCCTGAGGAGCCCGCACGTGCCCTGTCAGTTAGTCGCGGCGCATTCGGGAGCCTGCGCGCGCCCCGCCTGTCCGTCGCGGCGCCTTGGGGAGCAGCGCGCGCCATCCCTCTTCACCCGCCCAGCCCGTCCGTTCTGGCGCCCTGGGGGTCGCGCGTTGTCCCCCCCCTCACCATCCCCCGCGCTCCTACCCCTATCCCACCCGTTTTAGGGTTTTGGGGGTGAGGAGTGTGGGGGTGATGGTTGTGGGGGTGTCGGTTGTGCACGCCGTCCCCTTCTCCTCCTCCTCCTTCGTCTCCCACTGCTGCAGCTGTCGCTGAGGGGGGTGGATGTGTGGGAGTCTGGGATTTAGGGTTTAAGGGGGGTGCTGTGGGAATGGAGCTAGGGTTTGAGCAGGGGGTGTGTGAGAGGGGCGTGGGGCAGCTGGGGGAGGTTGAGTGGAGGCAGCAGTCTTGTCGCCAGCAGCACCAGCAGTCCGGAGGCTACAATCTCCGGTAGTCGCCAGTCGCCTGTGGGTCAGTTGCTCCGGTCTGGAGGCTGCAATCTCCGCGGAGCCAGTTACTCCTGTAGTCCGGGCCTTTGCGCCGGTAGCCACTGAGCCAGCAGCTCCTGTGTGTCTACAGCTTCAGCAGTCGCCTCCCATCTTCTCTCCCCCACAGTCTCTCCTCCTCCTTACTTGCCCTCTGTGATTAGCTCTAGCTTTGCTTACCTTTGTGAACTCCTGCTCTATACCTGCTTGCTCATTGTACTGATTACACCCCATTTTGGCTATGGGGGTGTGTCAGAATGTTATTCTCTAGCCTGTAGTGGGGTGCTCTATAGCGAGTACAACCCATCTAGGGTTTGCTATATGTATCCTCATTGCTGCTAGTGAAACCCCTCTTTGCCTAAACTTTCACTTGCCTACCTAGGACTTACCTAGCTATGGCTCCTCCCTATAGCTACTTCTCTCACAGCCGCTGTCCTCGCGTTCTCTCGTAAACGCGTGCAGCCACGACTGCGCCTAGACTAAGAAGAGCCGACGCCCTTCGGAATGGCTGAACGCATTGACGTCACTAGCCTCACGCAGGACCGCCTGGACGAGTTGCTGCGACAACTGCACGATAGTTCCGAGGAAATCGCAACATTAACGGTGGAATGCACCTCCCTGCAAAACGACCTCGCACGAGCACAATCCCAAGCACCTGGCACTCCGATTCAGCCCGCACCATAGACATCGCAACACGGAAGTGTGGGGCAACCCGCGAGCGCCGCAAGTGATGGCGTCGTCCGCCATGACGGAGACGACGACCACGGCACGACACACCCCGACGCGACGAATGCGGCCCGGAATCAACCTCGAGTCACGATGTCATAATCTAGCAGCAAGAAATGATTGAACTATGAGAGAACGGGGTACAAATATGAAACCCTAATGTGGGCTGTACCCCATATTGGCTACCCCACTACAGCCTAAGCATATGTAGCATATAGATCATTTGACAGGCGAATCAACCCTACCGTCGCCGATCCAAGTCAGCGGGGTGGTCCTACCGTTCAGGTGTGGCTCTTCATGTCGAATGTTTTCTTCTACGCGAACTACGTCTCGGAGGATACGGCGAAGATTCGTTACGCCGTGTCGTTGCTGCGAGGACCTGCCATGGACTGGTGGCGTGTCATCGTCACGAAGCCAGTGGACTACGCGACTCTACCGACACGGGAAGGACAAACCGGACCATGGGCGCCGTCGTATTTTGTGGAGGTGCCCCAGTATCGCACGTGGGACACGTGGTGCGCAAGTCTGCGCGCTCGTTTCGAGCAAATTTCGGCTTCGATCGCGGCGCGACAGAGGCTCCGCACTTGGTTTCAGAATCCCAACCACTAGACCATTGGGATAAAAGGGCTTGTTTCAGTAGCGGGTCTGTGCGCCCATAACCCCCCAGGCGGACGCGACTGTAACCCTCTCCGGGATCAATCGGGCATCCACAGTGTAGATCTACTGACACCCCCCCACACTGGGAGGCCCAGGACTAAGCACAGCGGCAACGGCCTACATGTGCATACACCGGGAATCGGACCCGAGATCGCTCTGATTCCATTTCAGAATCCCAACCACTAGACCATTGGGATAAAAGGGCTTGTTAAGTAGCGGGTCAGTGCGCCCGTAACCCCCCAGGCGAACGCGCCTGTAACCCTCTCCAGGATCAATCGGGCATCCACAGTGCAGATCTACTAACACCCCCCCACACTGGGAGGCGCCAACTCGGTTCCGTCCAAGACTACACGAGCGGGTTTCTGGCGCTATGCGAGCAGGTGGGATACATGCACGAGAGCGAACGCATCGACCGCTACATCGGCGGCCTGAAGCAGGACATCGCTCAGGAAATCTAGCTTCGCGGCGTCACCGGCTTTCAGGAGATTCTCGCCATGGCGGAGAAACTCGATTTCTTCCGCCGACCGAGACCGGGGTCAGCAATTGGGGACATCGGCCTCGTGGGACAAACGAGGGCACTACAATACGTGCCGTCGCCGCAAATGCCACTGCCGCACCGTTCAAAGGGCGCTGTTTTGCGTGCAATCGGCCGGGACACCGCAAGAGCGAATGCCCGGAAAACGCTAACGGAAAGGGGGAAGCTGAGCAGCACAAACAGACCAAGCAGCAGGGAAACGCTGGGAGTGAGTAGCAGACGGGCCCTCTAGTGACAGGTCACGCCGCTCGCCCGACCCAACCGACCCTCACCGAGTGATTGTGACGGTTCACGCAATCGACCACACCCGGCCGAATAAGGAGGGTACTACTGTAGACAGCCCCATACTGCTTAGTGGGAAAATCGGGACGGA